ACTCAAATGTAAGGCGGGGCTAGAGGGATGGCCGGGGGCGGTAGTTAGACCGGCGGTGGGAGGCGGTTTCGAGGAGGACGGGGTTGCGAGGCTGCGGGGGAGCGCCGCCAGCCGCTGGTGGTGATCGCAGGCGATTCGGCTGGCGGTGGAGAGGGAGAAAAGCTAGAGGAAGAAAAAAGGCCAGGTGTTGTTGGATGTGTATGGCGTTCAAAAATGATCGACTGACCCAAATTCAAAAACCAGGCCATTCCCTTATACAAAATCAAAAGAAGAACACCTAACGTCCGAATATCTATTTCTGAGCCCCTATTTACTGCACAGTGCGCATCCGCACTCTGCAGTCCCCCAAACCCAAACCCTCCACCGTTCCGCCTGCTCTGCGCGGTGGCCATGGCGGCGGCTTCGGCGGCTCACCCTAGCGGAGACAAGAAGACGATATCTCCCGGTGTCGACCGGATCAGCCTCCTACCCGACGAGATCCTCGGCGCCGTCATCTCCTTCCTCCCCACCGATGCTGCTGCCGCCGCGCGCACCAGCGCCCTCTCCCGCCGCTGGCGCCACCTCTGGCGCTCCTCGCCCCTCGACCTCGACGACCGCCACATCCCCGGCCCCAGGGACTGCCCCGACCGCGCCGGGGCCGTCTCCAAGATCCTCTCCGAGCACCAGGGCCCGGTGCGCCGCCTCCGCATCGAGAGCATCGCCCACCCCGACCTCGGCGCGTGGCTGCGGTCCCCGGCCCTCGACAAGCTCCAGGAGATCGACATCGATGCGCCCAGGTACTCCGATCCGCTGCCGCTGACCACGTACGCTCCGCTTCGCGCCGGGCCTCCGCGTGGCCAGGTTCGTCAGCTGCTCGTTGCCCGGCGCGCTGGACGTCGTGGATGCGCCGGCGTTTAGTTTCCCGCGGCTGAACCAGCTCGCCCTGGTCTCCATTTACATGCGGGAGCGCGCCCTCCATGGCCTGCTCGCCGGTTCGCCAGCTGCTTGAAGGTTGCGGCGGCACCGACCGCCTTCGGATCAACTCGCCGACACTTCGAAGCGTCGCCGTCTGTGATCGATACTACACCAAGGGGATAGTCGTGGAGAATGCCCCGCGGCTGGAAAGATTGATCGGAGCCGACTGGCCTTTCACCACGCCGTACATCACGGTAATCTCGGCACCGAAGCTGGAGATCTTGGGCTCATTGGTAGACGACTTCTCTAGATTCAGGCTACCGTCCACAGTTTCTCAGGTACTAGCACCGTAGCAGTGTCTGCCCGCCTATCTCAAAGCTGACGTTCGTCGCAGCAGCATTACACTGATCTTTTATGTTGTTTCTCTTATCAGGAAATGGTTGCTGACAACTTGAAAATGCCGATGCGCAGTGTGAAGGCTTTACATCTCACATCTTGTGGCCCTAATCTCAATTCAGTCGTTGTCTTCCTCAAATTCTTTCCATGCTTGGAGAAGTTGTATATCACGGTGATTTTCTTCTTTGGTGCCTTTTTTAGCATTAATTTTTCCCCACGTGGTCATGTAGTGCCATGTGAATACTTGTCGCACTTTGACAGGTATAAGTTTTTCAAATTCCGACCTACTAGGTATTAACTTTGTAAATCGTTTTATACTCTTTTCAGACATCTCCGCAGTCGGCCATGGAAAATGCGTATCAGCTTGACCCACAAGATCCTATTGAATGCCTTGACCATCTCAGAGAAATAGTGTTGCAGTGTTACGTGGGCAACGAAGCAGATGTTAACTTTGCCAAGTTCTTTGTTCTGCATGCTAAAGCACTCGAGTTGATGAAATTTGGTGTCAATGATGTATGCACAGAGGAATGGAGAGCTGATCAGTACAGGCGTCTGCAGTTTGACTGTAGGGCTTCTCAGAATGTTCGGTTTGATTTTAGATCTGATTTTAGCTGTAGAATTGCTATATGTTTCCATGATAATCAGATCCTGTCCATGGCTGATCCCTTTGAAAGCTCTTGCATGCTTTGTAGAAAAGGTTGATCAGTTTGATGCTCCCACGGTAGATTTTCCCATCTTTTCTTTTGTGCAAACATGACAATATTTCTTTTAAATATGTAATGCCTCTCAACTTCTTATTATGCACTCGAGTTGACAAGTTCAAACTGCAAATGTCATGAACACAAACACGTTATTGGTTTCTGCATTGTTGGAATTGCCATTATAGTCAATTATGAACGTGAACACCATTTTTTTTAATGGTGCGCTTGTGTTATTTATCGCCTTGGAGATGCTTGGCAAATGATTTGAGACGGAGCTCAAAAGCTGCACTTTGAAAATTGCACAACAGTTATGTGCTGGGGCCCTCTTTGGCCCCGAGTCTTGGCTATAGATTGTTCTTTAGGCACTTGTTGTGGACAAGCAAGCGTTACAATATATGCCAGATCAAAATTTCAAACTAAACATCTCATACTTTCCTTTTATTTATTTGGGAACACTATTTTAATCATAATAATCAAATATGTCTTATACAGTACTCCCTCTGTTCCATTACATCCTACATTACTTTACAGAGGGGGTATATTATAACAAAACACCACATACAACTAGATAATGGTAAAGGACAGACAACACAATGAAGAGTCGGGGCATATAACTCAACGAATAAGCAGGGGGCATGATACCCTGATCATCTGATCTGCACATGGGCATATACAGTGGCACTAAGAGGAAATATCAGATGTAATTATCTATTTTGCCCTCCATATATTTAGTGTCGTCACACAAAATAGAATTTATGAGGAGACCAATGCAGCCGGCCTTCTGATTCTCTGGATAATTATCCTTTGACCTCTGCTAAATTGTAGGTGTGAGAGTTGCCCAGAAAAACTATGGGCTGATGCTGTAGGAAACTTTAGTCACACCTTTCTTGACTCGTATATTTGTGACCTGAAGTATAGCAGATAATAAGATCAACTTCCAAATTGTCATAAGGGCGGGGAAAATGAAACGATCAGCCAAAAAGTATCATAACTGAATGCATTTCTTGTTTATCTTCCTCTTATATCTTGGTGCAACTGTTGCTTTAGTTCAATATATCTGTTATAAAGCCCAAAACTATTGCTTCCTCTAACCAAACACTTGTGGTATACAAGCTGATGTAGCATATTATTTTAGTATTTTACTACTCATTTCGGCCAATGCCACATGTATGTGTGTATGACCCGGATTTTATCAAAAAGTACCAGAGTTGGACTTCGTAGTTTGCTAACATGGTGGACACTATCATTGACAGTCATTCTGGCCTTGAGATCTCCCAAGAAAACCAACCCAACCTATTGACATGTTGCAGACAAGTTTTCGGAAACACAAATAGAAGCATGTTGCTTTTACTCTCTGCAATCACTAAACTTGCACGAAAAAATGTGGACGACAGCTAAACAGAGATAATAGTCGATAGTACATGGACTAGCAACATCAGTGCACCGACTAAACTTTTCCAGACGTCCAGTTTTCATGAATATTTCCCAAAACTATCATCTGTGTGATCCTAATGATCAGCAGCAGGACTACAATTTCAAGTTCTGTTATAAAATCATTTCAACTTCACAGATGTCACTCAACTCATCTAGTCTCTCTGCTGGGTAGATTTCATGAGTTGTGGTTAAGTTTCTGGAAATTTGCACAGGCCTCAGAATCTACCTTTAGGTTACCGATGTCTGCGATATCGGCTACATGAGTGCCTCCACAAGGACAGCCAGGATAGTCACCAAATTTAACAATGCGGGGAGTGCTACCCTATAATAAAAAACGTTAGGCGGTCATGGAAGGGTTGGAGTTAGAGAAACACAAAAACTGCAAGGTGGCATTTTCTAATCAACTCTATCAATAAAGCAGGATTGATGTTTTCTAAATGGCATAGAAATTGGGACAAATATTGCACATTTTAATTACTCCAGAAAATGGCTGTTTTCTTGATTTGTTTCATAATCAGTAGAATTATAACACTCTGCATATGTAATATGAAAATTCACACTGAATTGTTTTCCTAGTATCAAACAGATGCATCTTAATAAAATCTAAAGGTATGACAGCTCCCTCTGCTCCCCTAATAGTTACCATTTTGCACCTAAGGAAAGTCAAACATTCGAACTTCCACAACCAATATCTGTCTAACTATTTGAACTGGATAAATGAAAATCATGTGCACAAATCTGTTAGAGTACTTTCACAACATAGAGTTTTGTGAGATTTCATAAATGGATTCCAATAGAAATCAGATGTCAAAGTTACATTTTAGATGTCACGTCGATGTGCAAAACAACTACTGTGGAACTGAGGGAGTATTTATGTATTTTTATTGAAAGGGAATTACAATGGAATATTATACATGAGAAGTCATCCAAATATACAATAGCTATCCATGGTGTTGGGAGAGTGTGCATTTCATATAAGACAAATCCGTCTAAAAAGGGTACGGAAGTAATAACATAACTAACCTCTGAAATGTAGCTAGGCAGAGCACCTCCACATAATTTAGCGGCCTCATCATAAGAGAAAACAGAGACTAAGACCTGCACCAATGGTAAATAATTAAGCACAGCAAATTATGAAACCCTATCGCTAAGGTTTCTTGGGTTATTTATACCTTGGCTCCTTTAGAAATCAGTTCATTTGCCTCCTTTTCTAACTCAAGTTTCTTATCCTGCAATTTATCCGCTGGAACAACTCCTTTATACTCAACAAAAGGCCTGCAACGAACAAAAGCCACAATGTACTAAATAATCCAAGTGGAACCAAAATAGTAGTAAAAACTGGCATGAGCTGTAGTGCTTATACCAAGTAAAGAAAACCTACATGAAAACTAGACACAGAGTCAATCGATCAGCGTTACGGACAAGAGAATGAAGAATCGGGAAATAGGTAGTCCTGTATATGGTCATACCCATCAGGAAAATGATATCCTTTCCCAGGTTCCAGCTTAAGGCCAAGGTTGGTCATGCAGTTGTCCAGCAAATGACCTGCAGAGTGAAGCCTGAAGCATCGCAGGTTCAGCACAACTGACAGTCACAAAATATGCAGAGAAAGACAAGCACATAACGAAAAATGGTGCTGAATTCGATTCGTGGCTGCCGCAACGTTCCTCCATGTCGGATTTGCTAGCACTGAACATCTCCATACCTGGAGTTGAGTTTGCGCCGTTCCGCGTCTATTTCCAAGCTGACGCTCTGCCCTTGGCTGAGCTCCTCTCCAGCAGCATCCTCGAATCTGCCATAGTGGAAGACCTACACGACAGCAGCAGAGCACAGCTGAGCCTCAAATCAAATGACAAGCACTCTTATAAATCTTTATCAGAAGCTCGTGGAGATCTGGGCGCTCACCACCCCATCCTTGACGCGCACGTCCTCGACGAGGAACCTGGCGCCGGCGCCGGCGGCGGAGACGATGGCCCCGGTGTCGGCCGGCTGCCCGCCGCCCTGCGGGTGGAAGACGGTGGCGTCCAGCACCACCGCTCGCCGGCCGCCCTCCTCCTGCGGGCGCCCGGAGCCTAGCCTAGTCAGGGTCCAGGGTTCTGAAACTCTGTAGAGGGGAGGGGGGAGAACCTGATGGAGGGAGAGGATGGTGGCGGGGGCGCGGAGGGCCCACATGTCATCAAAGTAGGCCAACCTCGTGGGCCCTGCCGGAGCCGCCATCCCCGCGGAGAAGCTGGTCGTCGCCGGCGGCGCGCGTGGTACTGGCTGATCTACGGTGGCGCTGTTGCGCTGCCTCTGCCTGCACTGTAAAAAAAAAAAACTCGCCAGGTCAATCCGTTGCAGGGTCCAAGTAAAAAAGGTGTGTGCGTCTGATCTTCCAATCTGCAGCAGAGAATTTGGAATAAACCACCACCGACTGATGGTGAAACCTTGGAAGATTTTTTTTTTTAGAACCAAGCCTCAAGGAGAGCCTGACTTTGAATTAACGAAGCCATCAACCGGCCAGGATTACACAAGGCCATCAAGCGATAGTGACCGAAACAAACCTTGGAAGATTGGTGGTAAGAAAAAAGAAAAAGCACTGAAATTTCCAGAAAGCACAAATAGTAGTACTTATCATCACATCGTTGGAGCATTCTCGTCATCCGTGTAAGTACATAATAATTGTGTGCGGTAATTGAGTTGAAGAACATCGAAACATTTTAGGCTGCGTTTGGTAGCAAATTTTTTTTTTAAGTTTTCTGAGAATACTGCGGTTTCTGAAGAAAAAAAAACCATGGTTTTGAATACTTTGCTGCGTTTGGCATCAGAAAAAGCCAAAGTTTTATAAACCACAGTATGCCATAAACCATGGTATTTTTGCGGTTTTTGAAAAAGAGATCCCGACCTCTTTTTTTAAAACAGAACGAAGAGAAATCGTCTGGAGATCGCAGTTGACGTTGTCGTCTACGTCGAGATAAGAATACCAGCTACGATCCGGTTCTATTTTCCCTCTTTCCATTATATGGTAAACTCCTGGTTCTAGCCAATCTCATCCTATTTACGAGTAGTAGGTTTCTCAGGTTCTTCTTCCAGCCGGCGTCCTGTGCAAGTCCCATCTTTTCTCTGCAGCGCCATGAGCGAATCAAGCGGGATATATATAGGTGGATTATTTGAAACCTTCAATGCCAGTAGCCCATGCATGTAGGTGCATCATGGGTAGTCTACAGATCCTAGCATCTAGGTCCGGCGGATGTGTGCATGGCAGTTGCATGCAGCCGGCCGCTGTTTGCAGCCGCTCTCTCAGTCAATCAATCATCCATGCTAAAATATTTGGTCAAAACTTTGGTAAAACAACACCAACCAAACACATGTACAACTGAAAAAAAAAACATTGTTTTTAAGAAACTGTAGTATTTAATGCCCACCCAGGAGAATACTCTGGTTTTCAATTACCACAGTTTTAAAAATACTTTGCTGCCAAACTAAGCCTTAGCTGTTCAACCGCTAAACCGAACCCCTCATCATGAACCTCGCCAAAAAAAAGAACCCCTCATCATGAACCTCGCAAAGAAAGAAAAAGAAAAGGAAAAAGAACCCCTCATCATTTTTTTCCCACGGGCCTTAGCAGGGACAACGAGATTGGCTCGCGAAATATTGTGCAAGTCCATGGGCCAAAGCTGATGCATAGACTGTTTTTGCTTCTTCTTTTCGTAAGATTTGTTTTTATCAAAATGATTCTGAACTGTTTGCTTAAATCACAAATCGTTTTCACCATTTTGTCTTCCGCGTCGAGATCTCCAAGACTAAATTCCATGTTGATTGGTTTTTTCAAACTTTTTCTTGGCCAAATCTTTGCTTCCAGCTGTAGTAGCTTGTGCTTCCAACGTGAACTAAATTGCGCCCCCAGTGCAAATAGGATTGTGCTTCCCATGGGGGTGAAGCACATGCTTCTGTCAGACGTAAACCAAAAAAACCAATGAAATAGAAAAAGAACAGAGAAAACGAAAAAAAACAATACCCCGAAGAAAAATCCAGGATGAAATTGAAAAAAAAATGTGTTACACGTGGCACCCTCCAACTAGTCCCTCCCAAAAGTGCTCCTAAACTTCTATATTGACTTAATAAACTTAGAACTTCAAATATTTTGGAACAATGAAATGAGTATAATTGTGAAGGATGTCTTCAATATTTATGCAGAGCCGTGGCCTGAATGATCTTAACCTCTTAACTTACTAAGCTCCTTAGGAATGGAGCATCCTCGTGCATCCAGGTATATTTTACATTTGTGGCCCCACATGTCAGAGAGTGAACTGATGGTGCGCGGTGATTGGGGCTCCTGTGCTAATCGAGAAGCAAAATTTTAAATCCATAAAAAAATTAATTGGTGAACATTAAATCCATTCACATTTTTTGAAATTCAGGAAACTTCTTTTGAAATCCGGGAATATTTTCTAAATTCTTGAATAATTCTAATTTTGCAAGCACGTTTTGAATTTTGGGCAATATTTGTTGAAATTCAGGAACATGTTAAAATTCACGTGCATTTATTTCAAATACATAAACATTTTTATTTTTATAATGTTTTAAAAAAATTGCGAACATTTATTTTTTGAAATATTTTAAATATTCTCTATATTCTTTTTGGGTTTTCTTTCCCCTTTGTTTTTCCTTCCTCACTTCCTCGGATGGGTTTGGTCATCCGTTGACGGTTTCATGCTGAGTAGAATCTCTCGGGCATGTGGGTTTATTTGGATAGCGCGGGCGTGCGCAAACTGATTTTCTGCATTGTGCGTTCGTAAAGGGGCGGCGCCGAGCGGTCGGCTCACCGTTTTCTCCTTGCTCCCCGTCCGTCTCTTCGGGCAGCGGGTTCGCGGTGGAAGACCGACGTCGTGCTAGCGTTGAGGGAGAGCCAGAACACCAGGTGTTAGAGATCCAAAACGAGATGAGCCCCCGTTGTAGCTGGCTCTCTAGAAGTAGAGCTAACCCCAAGGTTGGGAGACGATTAGGTTGAGAGATTGGAGTCATTTTGGGGACAAACACTAGCACAATCAGAATGATCTTGAGAGGCAGAGTCATGAGTAAATTGGGTTGTAGGGGGGGAGGCGGGGAGCGTGCATCTTCACCACCCCCTAGAGTCTAGTTTGATATACATACCGCCTGTTATCCGTATATAAAGCCAGAGCGAAAAGCTATGCATTTTAGATTTGTCTAGATACGAATGTATCTAGAATAAACCGAATTACTTGTCTTGGAACGGAGGGAGTATACAGTAAGCCGATGAACACCAAAACATTTACAGTAGCTACTGACAGACTAGACGGAGACATGGACGCTGTCTGATCTAAATTATGTTGAAACCGAAGTACCAGAAGGCGGGGCGCCGGCCTTGCCCGTCGACGCGCTTGCAGCGGCACCAGAAGGCGGTGCCGCCGCCCTTGCCCTGCGCCACGGCGATCTCCTCGTCCACGTAGAACCACAGGAAGAAGGGGTCCTTGGTGCTCGGCTCCCTGCCCACGTCACCGCCGCCGAGGGGGATCTCCAGGGGCCCCAGCGGCCCGAGCTTGAGGCGCACCCGCTCGAAGACGAAGGCCAGGATCTTCTTCCTCCACGACAGCCGCCCCTCGAAGCTCAGGCTCCCCGCCCGGCCCAGGTACACCCCGTTCTCGATCCTCTGCCCCTGCTCACACCCAAAAATGAGTTTCTTCAGAGTTTCAGTTGCAGAGATAAACTGTTCGTCCAGAATCTGACGCCATGTCTGAAACTGAAATGCGGGAGGAGCAGGAGGAGCTCACTCACCGCGGCGTCGAATCGCTGGACGGCGGTCACCGGGAAGTAGCTGCCCGTGCCGAGCTTACTGCCCTGCGTGCGAGACATTCAGTTCAGACAAACCGATTGATTAGTTAACCTGACCACCAGATGCAAACCGCTAATAGGTCTGACCGAGTTACGCTATTTTGGTTGAAATCCAGGTGTTTCCTCACCTGGGCGGTGAAGATGAGCTTCCATGTCCTGCCGGGGGACTCGGTCCCGCCGAGCGTCTCGAAGAAGGCCGAGGTGTCGAGCTTGGCCTTCTTGATCTTGGCCAGCGCCGCCAGCACCTCCGCGGCCGGCACCTTCCTCGTCTTGGCCGCCTCCTTGAGCACCCTCACGCTCTCCGCCACGGCCTGCGCTAAACCAGAGCCAAGAAACCATTTTATTCTTGTCAGAGCATGGGTAAAATCTAAAATGTCATCGAAATTGGGGGCGTGCCGATGCTCGCTGCTCACCGATAGTGCTGAGGATTCGTCTGGAGGAGGAGTGGACGGCGAGGAGGGCTCCTTCTCCACCTCCGGCGACGCGGCGGATGACGAGGCGGCGAGGGAGACCGAGACGCCGTGGTGACGGCGGCTGGAGCGAAGGTCGAGCTGTGCCGGGCGCCGGGGTGCAGGCGGCGAGAAAGCTGGGGCGAGCGTGGAAGGGTGCAGCAAGGAGGCGGACGAGGCCATCTTCTTCCTCTCGCTCGGGCGGTCGGGTTGCTCTGTTCTCCGACGAGGTGCCGAGATGGTAACCACGAGTTCGGAGTCTCTGGCTCTGTGGCTGTGAAGGAACGAGACGAGGGCTTTGCCTGTGAGTGTGACCGTGTGAGTGAGGAGTGGACACTTGTGGCGCACACGTCGACGGTAGACAAGCACGAGCTTAAGGCCACCGTAATTCCTCGACTTTAACTCTCTCTTTTTTCCCAAAGAAGCCTAACTGGCATATAAAAATCATGACATATACACAAGGGTAAAATTATAATCTAAGCCTTGGGGTTGCTCAAGTCTTCTTCCTCGTACATTTGTCAACGACGTGTCACGAGCAAAGCTTAGTGCCGCCTCCTAAGCCTTCTTTTTGGCGGAGCAAACTTTTATACACATGGGAGCTTGTAGAAGCAGCATCCAAAAAGTCGCCGATTCAGACCATGAGACACCGGCAGCCGCGATTGAGATAATTCTATCGTATTCATCGCAATGTGGGACCCACTTGTACTAGCTAAGTGCCCGTGATGTAATCATGATTTTTTTATGAAACAATTGTTTTGAGTAGTTGTTGTTGTGTCTCCTTAACAACCATCTCCTTTCAAGAATGCAAAAGACCACATCTTTTCTCCTCCATTATCTTCATTCATCCTTGCTCTGGCATTGTTGTCGCCTCAAAACTTTTTCATCTCGCCTTACCATCGCTTGGGAACATTTTTAAAAATTAAACAAACAAATGAA